ATTCATGTCAAAACGCTAAAAGGTGCGGTGAACGCAAATTGGAAAGGCCAGAGTAAGGGGGATACTTAGGCAAGAAGTGGTAGAGAGAGAGAGAGAGATAGATAGATAGATAGATAGATAGATAGAGAGAGAGAGAGAGAGAGAGAGAGAGAGAGAGAGAGAGAGAGAGAGAGAGAGAGAGAGAGAGAGACAGAGACAGAGACAGAGACAGAGACACACAGAGAGAGAGAGACAGAGAGAGAAAGAGAGTGAAAGAGAGAGAGAGAGAGAGAGAGAGAGAGAGAGAGAGAGAGAGAGAGAGAGAGAGAGAGAGAGAGAGAGAGAGAGAGAGAGATGGGGCCAAAGGGAGGGGGTTAAGCTGGAATACAAGGGGTGATTAGTACTTTACGTTGTAAATTTAAGGTACAATGTACTTGAAATGTGGCTCGTCAATATTAAGGCCAGTGACGATTTTGTGAGACCCCTAGTTCCAAATCCACATTGATTCTCTTTGGTTGAGTTTTTATTTAGTTGGATATTGGACTATTTCAATACCCTGAAGCTGCAAATCTGAGGATTCATTATTGTGATCAGGACTGTTGAAAGGTTGACCAACTGGTGTGCATGAGTTTTTCTTGACTGAATACCTATGGTTATTAAACCTAGCTCTAAGTATGGTAGTTTGATCTGCATATTGAGCTGGGCAGACTTCACAAAATATGAGGTAGATTACATTTTTGTTTTCTCAAGTGATGCTGTGAGACAGTTTTCTTTTAAAGTACTGGCTTACTACATGTACAAAGTTGGTCTTTTTCATGTAAGCACATGTTTTGCGTCTAGGTTTTTGACAAGGATAATTTGGGGGCGGGGAACGTGGATTTATTGGAGGTGAGGACGCGGGTGTTACCCAAGACACAATAAGACTGTGTCTTGGGTGTTACTGCTTACTGCTCAAGTGCGAATAATCAGGAGGTTGCCAAGATTAGGAGGCTGTCGAAGTGCAATCAAAGGAGGATCCGGGAAACAGGCTTTCATTTTGTCTGATTTTTCAAAGATGATTAGACCATTGTTCTCTGTTCATTACTTTGCTCTAATCCTTTTTAAAAAAGCTACGTTCTCCGGATTTTTCCCTGTCACCAACGATTTACTTTGGTCCAATATCTATATATCTGCCTCTTTAAATTGCCGCGATCTTGCCAGTGAAAGCAACACAATTATGTTCAGGGCCTTGTTTATGATGATATCAATAATAATAACAAAAACAAAAATAATATAGACTAAACTACTACTACTACTACTACTACTACTACTACTACTACTACTACTACTACTACTACTACTACTACTACTACTACTACTACTACTACTACTACTACTACTACTACTACTGCTGCTGCTGCTGCTGCTGCTGCTGCTGCTGCTGCTGCTGCTGCTGCTACTGCTACTACTGCTACTGCTACTGCTACTACTGCTACTGCTGCTGCCGCTGCTGCTGCTGCTGCTGCTGCTACTGCTGCTGCTGCTGCTGCTTCTACTGCTACTGCTACTAATAGTAGTAGTAGTAGTAGTAGTAGTAGTAGTAGTAGTAGTAGTAGTAGTAGTAGTAGTAGTAGTAGTAGTAGTAGTAGTAGTAGTAGTAGTAGTAGATAATATTAATAATAATAATAATCGAAAAGTGGAAAAGTAACAGCCACGAATGCTACGAATGTTTCGACGTTCTTATCATAGATCCTCTCGTCACATGGAGTCTGCTAGACTAGCTAAATGCTAGGCTAGACACGCTCTCTCTTGCTTCGCGCACTGACGGTGCATATTATAAAAACAAATACAATACAATGTCGTTACGACAAGGTGAGTCAAAGTGGCCTTTCTGTTACCAAGATTTGTCTAAAAAGTGGTTAGATCTCTCTTGGTCTTGTTGTACTCTCAGACTTTGAGTGTCTGTTTACGCCACACAAGTGAATTATTAGCGGTCAGTCTGAGTAGAGATCCACTGCACGACGCAAAAATGCAGTTTTTCTGTGAATCAGGAGATCTCGCCGTGAATCAGACCGGCCTTAATGCCGTCTTTGCCTTTCGGTTTCATTCTGCCTATTCTACTTGCGACAGCACTGCGTCAGATTATGCTTGTTGGCGTTGAGTATTCTTTCAATTTTTATGACCTTTCACAGACGCATTATTATTGCATTACTGTTGAATTGGTGGGTGCGATTGGTGTCTTATAAATAGGCCGGTGCTCTTTCAGTAGTTCCCACCCCCCTTATTTGACCTACATCTAGATTTAGATCTAGATCTAGATCTAGATCTAGATCTAGATCTATACGTTTGATTCGCGGTGAGCTAAGATATCAAACCTTAAAACATTAAATTATGGTAAAATTCAGGGGGGAATGCCCCCCTGAAAACCCCCTTCCTATTTTTATTAGGTCAGGGGGGCAAGCCCCCCTGAAACCCCCCTACTCTTGGGGCCAAAACCTGTGAATAACAATTGCGGGGTGGGAACTACCAAAAAAGCGCCAATAGGCCTACAGATCTTGTAGTTCCGTTCTTTAAAGTCCACGATCCATTTGTTTACATCCAGAGAAGAAGGATGCAACAGGTCAGGGGGGCAAGCGCGCCCCCTCGAACCCCCCCCCCCCCCCCTAGATCTAGATCTAGAAATCTAGTAGATCTTGACTTTAACGAACGAAACTACAAAATCGCCCTAGAATCTAGATTGTTTACTCATTCGCAATGGTTTTTGTTGAGAAAACTGATTAATTTCATTAAGCCAATTCTCAATTCATAACAAAAAGTAATATGAAGAATTAATTTGCCTATTAGATCAAGAATCTACATCTAGGTCTAATTATTATTAGATTTATTAAGAAATGACAGGATATCTAGATTTAGATCTAGGTTTCTAGTTAGTGAAATTTTACCACCCCTTGCTCAGTCAATAATTGTCAGCATGGCCTGTCAGATATTACGACATAGTATCTGTGAAATGAAGCGCTCATCAAAATTATGAAATCGAAGAAACCAATGTTTTTCCGGCGGTAAGACAATTTTCGTGGAAATTTTTTTGGGTTTTTTTTTGGGGGGGGGGGCTAATACCTATTATATCTGTTAAAAAATGTTTTATATTAATATTACTGAAGAAAAGGCTATTGATTAAAAGCACAACATTTTTAATTAAAATGTAAATTTTCAGTTTCCAAAGATTCTGAAGCTATGGAAATCACACAATTTTGTGTTCCGTTTTCTCCATAATTAATCATTTCAACTCTGAAACGAGGCGACCCCCGTCTATTCAAGATAAATGTTTGTTTTTTTAAAATTGGAAGGATGATCATTATTATTAAGTCAAAATAAGTCAATATGCTCAAAAATTGATGAGTGCCCAATTCCACCGCGTCATGACACATTTTATTCCGACGTTATAACCGGGAAGTAGATTCGGATAAGAAAAAGATAAGGTAGAATCCCTGCTAACAATTTTAAGTTTGGCCTATACATTTATTGTTTTCTGAAATTCTATTCTCTTCCTACAGTAGTCTCCACCTAAGATCCCGGTGCTCGTTAGCAAGGAAATGCAGGATCTACGGCGAACCGGGATCTTAACCGACGAACCCAGGGAAGAATCTATGGTGACCCGTGTCAAGGCTCCCTCCACTCTAAAATGGACGTGACCCCTTGGTAGGTTTATATATGACATATGGCGAGCTAAGAGTGGTTAACCTTGATGACCTATCACAGTGCATAGTGGCATGAGGCGTGCCAATTATCCTGTCACGAGTCTCAAGATCTATTCTTATCCAGTTGCCCGTCCCCTTTACCTGTCGAAAATTTATAGCTTTCCATCTCTAACCGGGTCCCCCCCCCTCCCCCCGTCTTTGTCGTTACACACCGTTACGTTACGTTGTGAGCACACCAATTAAAATTCAGTCTGTCTCGTAAATTCGGGTGTAGAGACAACTGCAACCTGCTGCAATGGCCAGGGAAGAGTTCCCAGTTCGATGTGATCCCACCTGGAGCGAACGTGTAGGTCCTACCCTCCCAGCAAGTGATATAGTTTAGGGGGAGAGCTCAGTCAGGTGCGAGTGCGATGGTTGGGGAAAACAAACGTGTCGGTCCGTTCACGCATGGGTGTGATCCCCTCTGGGGCAAACATTGTATCGCTTCATCGAGTTTTACATCGTGTATGTGATCACATTCATGATAGTGGCTGATCTTTGACGAGACGGACAGTTTATTGATCTCAACTTATCACTTTCGGTTTATCAGCTGTGCCCGCCCAGGTTTTTGTTCCGCAAATTATGATCTAAAATGTCGAATTTGTCCGAGATGGCCACCCATTGTCCAAGACAAAGTAGTTTATCTATGGAGATGCGATAACCTGAGCTACTAATTTGATGATAATATGTGACACGACGTGGTGGAATCAGGCAGTTGTCGATTTTGGGACATATGGAGTTATTATTATCATCAGCCTACCATTTGCCTTGCTTTTGTTGAAAAAAATATCCATTTATCTTGGATGCAAATCAAGATATTGGCGACTGAAGAAGGTGGGGGTGGTCTCCTTTCAGAGGTAAAATTAGCAAGAAAATGGACGTCAAAGTTGAGTTATTTCCTTAGCTTGAGAGTCCGTGGAAACTGAAAATTT